CGCCCCTTTTGAAAGTGCTCACCAGCTGAGGGAGTCCCGCTTGTTATCGAATCAGAAGGCGATTTCTCAAACCTTACCTGCTGTTGAGTGCGAATTTGTAATTAACGTTTATCATTTAAGACGACGTGTTAGTGATAAATCGCTTTGATTGTCTATTCTTTCGAGATGCATTTTGGTCGACAGCCAATCAAATCCCGTGCTTTTCTAGTTAAAAGGAAACAAGCAGTGCATGCAAAATTGCGACTCGAGCCCCGTCCCCGTTTGTCTAAGAAGTCACCCACCTATTTGCAAGAATTACTTAATCCACCTGGCGTGGTAATTCAGCGTTCGCAATTAAGGATTGTATGGGTAAAACTATTCAGAGTAGAACGACTCTCGGAGCAAAAAAATCTACAGTAGAGGGAAAAAATTTTAGGAATCCTTAATCCTGATCGCGAGTCTTGTCTTTCGTACTAAGAAGCTCAACTGCGACTGAGGCTGCAGAAGACTGCATAGCACTTTATGCTAGCGAAGTACTTCAAGCTATCGCAAAACTAGTTCGAAGAGATTGGAGTCTTTTTCGACGAATTACTCGACGACATCGTTGCTTCGTCCAGGCTACGTAATCCGATGCAAGTTTTTGTGGCTACCCTAATCCAACTGGATTGCACTTTTGAGCTGGATTCGAGTGGACCCTCCGAGGTGACTGCGAATACACCCCCAGGTCGTATCGACCAAGGGAGTAGGCAGCTTCGGTGATTTACGAGAACTCGTTTTGGCTCGTGTCGACATCCACTGTTTCGATCACACTACTGATGACTGCAAAGTACGTGATCACAAACGGCTAAATTCCTTCCAAGACTATCAGTGACGAGTCTGCCTGCAATAGATGAAATTAAAGCAGTGGATCCGCCGTAATTGTGTTGAGAACGAACAAAAACACTGCTGAACACTCAGATTTAACCCTCAACTGGCATCAGTAGCTCCGCGGAAATGCGTGGGTTAGCCCGACTGTCATCATTGGCGAAGGAGATAAATAAAGGCCTCATACAATCCTTTACACCAATTCAATCTCGATATTTTCTGCCGACTAGTAAAATCAGCAACCACGACGACGGTGCGCGCGCCTGTGTGCCTAAACAAGCGTTTACCGGTGGCCCGCGAACTATCGTTTGCATGAAAAATAGCCCACTAATAACAAGTTAGTAGGCTGAATATACGCACTAAACTCAGCGCCCAAAAGGAGGTACATATTTATTATACAAAATAACCCGGGTGTATAATCACACGGTGGCAATTAGATGGTCGTCTTCAGGAGGCTCGAGGATGCTCTATTTACAGGCTACCAGGAAATCATTTGTGTAGTCTCGCTTATCGTCGAAAACTGCTAAAGGCGCTGGACACGAAGCTCTGGGACTTCTTCTGGGCGGCCATCTTCTCCATCTCCTCTTTTCGTCTTGCCTGTGCTTCCTGGAAAACGCAAACAAAGACGAGTCAAGCTAAAACGACCCCAAAACAAGCAGATCTCACATATGGACACAAATTCCAACATTGCCTTCGGTTTAGACGATGGAAATGGGGCATTAACACGTTCACTAATTTCACGCAGGCTGCTGTACGTCCACGAGAATCGTGCTTGGCGTTTGGGAACATATGTGGGTTCTCCTAATCTCAAAAATTTCGTAAATCTTCATTTTAGCTTAACTGCGCAGACTTAATAAAGACATACAAAGTGTTAGAATTCAACAAGTGAATTTCTTTAAGGTTCGATATTGTGCTGTCTACTTGAAATGCAGTCCCAACAACAATGAAGACGACTCACCATGAGCTGTTCGTGTTTCTCCTTAAAAGCGGTAAGGGGATCGTCAAATTGGCGATAATGGTCCAGCACAGGACGCACATCATCGACTCCGCTCATAGCGACCACTACAACAGAGAACAAGTTGTTACATGCAGACGAATTTTTCTTTACCAACTCAAGTACGACGTCATCATCTCAACTTAGTCCACACCCGCTTATTATAGTTCGCAGACATTCCACTAAACCCTGAACAATGACGAGATGGGAACTCAACAACGCGAATAAGTCAACAAATTCACCGGCTAGGTCCTATTTTGTTCATTTTACTAATAATCACTAAAAGTAGCTTTTTAACAAAAGCGATAATTCACCCGCGGAAGAAAATGGCACTAAGTTTGACGCATAGGGGCTAAGTTGAAAACGTACTTCTAAGAAACGCAGCCAGATCGATGAGGTCGCGGTCACTATCATCTCCAGTCCAGCGGTTGATTATGAAGGCGTTTCGTGGCTGTAATGAGGCCGCGTCAGGGTTCCAATCCACCAGAATCACACGCGAGAGATCGCGGTTTAGGCAAGAGAGGTCCTTTATATGCTTGCCCTTACTATAGCGGGTTGACTCACGGAAAAGGCGATAATGGATGTACTGGCCTTGAGAATCAATTTGCGCAAGCACCGGCATTGCAGTCTGGACGTGAAGAGAAGAAAAGCACGATGCTTTGAAAAACAGAACACCTTAGAGGAAGCACTTTTATGAAATCACAATGGGTACCAGGTAGATTAACAGAAGAGTAGTTAACAATAACTAAACAGAAATCTCAAATAACTGGGAATTACATATGGTAACGTAATCATTCGTACCTAGATAGAACAGAAGCGTTAAAAGTGATGGATATATGTAAACTTAAACGCAACCAAGGAAAATAGGTGAGCGATTGTTTAGGAATAAACCTACCATTGCAGAATCTTGGGAAAATGCAACGACTTCATAAAAGGGAGCTAGCTGTTGCAGAAATAGATCCAGAGCAGGCCGTTTTTTAAAACGCCAACCAGTTCTGAACTACCACGAGTTATTTAAAAAATAAGTGATAACCTTCCAGTCTGGATGAACCAAAACATCATTTATTTCAAAGACAAGAGTGTATGGAGGCTGATAATAAGGTGGCTCAACAGGATCTGGAAGAAGCTTTTCACTTATCGGATCCCGAATGCTCTAAAAGACACGAGTTATGGTAAAATGTCGACGAACCTGATTGAAGTCCCATATTGTCTGCCACGCTCGACACATATACCCCTTCCAGAGGGGCACTAATAGCAAATAAATTAAAAAATAATGCACATACTGTTGGAAAATTCGTCTTTAATCTAAAAAATGATTAAGTGAACAGTGTCGTACCTCAGAACCGCTTTCATCAATTCCCGGAGGACCTTTTAGAGAACATTTAGCAAGGATCCAAATGACATACCCCATACAGCTATTGCACAACCAGCAGCAAATGCTGTAGAACCTGCAATACTCAAGGCACCAAGCTTCCAGGCATTCTTCCCAGACCACTGACCAGATTTTTTATTGTCTTTGGAACCCGAGTCATCTTCTTTTTGATGAGAAGTTGACCTCACTTCGGAAACCACGGACGAGAACGACCTTCCTTTTCCAGAAATAATGGTTCTGGCCTGGTTGTAGGCTAGCAGCCGAGCCTTCTGGGGAAACACTAACGAAGACCAACTCATCACCAAGAGAACATGCAGCACGACAAATTGGCGGCGAGAACAAATGGTGAACCAATCGGAACTGACGGAATAAGGACGTTGGGTTGAGAACCAAGCTGTTGTGGTCGAATATTGATAAATATTTTACTATGACTTTGGTTCGATTATGGAAGCTTATCAAGAGTAATTAATATTATGAAAGAGATCTGCAGCCAACAAGATTCTCAACTTAATAAATTGGTAAGGATAAGCAAGCTCACCAAAAACCGTGATCACTTCGTGAATATTCTCAATCTGAATGCTGTTGCTAATTTCAATCACATACCTTATGTCCTCCTAATTATTTGCATCCAGTACTATTTTTTCATTAGATTTCGTTTTGTAATGAATCATACTTAATCAAATCCGTTAAAAAGTTCATCGCATTCTTTGCCACATTTACCTTCTTTTCACGGCGTCCCTATCAATCATGCGACACTGTCTGGTCATTCCCAAACATAATCCCTTTTTACAATTTGTGAATTCGATATTAAAAGCAAATATCGGCACCTAGCGATCTTACGATTCCACTTTAATGAAGAGATAATTCTGTGCTTTTCATCCTATTGGAAAATTCCGCCCTCAACGCTTTCTACCTTCTTTTATTTCTTAAGGTGCGATTGTCCCTTATTAACAATGCTCAACTTGATATCTTGATTTTGCCTGTTCACTCAACGTGGCTCACAGTGCTTGTAGTCTTCTGAAAGAGCCTAGCTTCATTGCTCAATGCTCGCTTAGTTCACCAACCGGACAATGCAGAATCTGCTTACTCCACCAATTCTCCAAAAGACTTTTAATTTCCGACATCCTTACAGTCCTCCGACAAACATCGATTTCTAACAACTGCCAACGACCAATCATTCTTCGAATTTCGTTCATTTTTATTAGCCCCTTTCAGGTCTCAAACATTTTTCACAAGCTGACCTCATTACCGGCCCCTCGACTACGTTAGCCTGGCTACATCTCTCGACTCTCACAAGCCATAACTCGACAAACATGTCTGGAAGGTCTTTGAGATCCGTTCTCACCTTGGTTTTCAAATCTCAATCAGGCTGCAAAGCCTTAACTATTTTACGCCAACAGTCTGCAAGGTTTTTTATAATCAAAATTTTAGATATCCTGATGGAAGAAATGTTTGTGTCAGCAGTAAAAATTAAACTCAAACTTTTTTCAAAAACATTTCGCTTCTCTGGAGATGATTAATCGCCTTGTTTTAATATTCATGATTGTCTCATTCCGTCTGCATACAACCTACGAAGTACATTTGAGTAATCTTTGATGCGTAAAAAATTTGCGACGTTTTAACCGTGTGTGCTAAACCGTTCTCTCATGAACTCCAGTGCTAGTGCCTCCCACACTCTTCCTTTCATTCATCTGGATATACTGATATTGTATTCCAATTAGTTTACCCGGACTATGTCTATTAAAAACCCTTACTATTTAGGCGCGAGGTTTTGTTCGCAGTGGCGCTAGAGTAACAAGTTAGGTAAGAAATTTCGTTAACTCCCTTGTCTTTAAATTGCCTGCCTTCTTGATCTTTTCTGGTAACAGAGAAGAGTAACCGGGTTAAATTGAATGCGCTAGCTTTGGCGTGATTCAAGACCGCTTGCTGTTGTCTTCAAAAATATGTGACCCATAAGTGATCATTGTTAACAGTCAGAAATGTGGACTACAAATTTTGACATACAACCAAAAATTTTGCTGCAACGGCATCGAAAACTTACAGATCGTCTTAAAAAGCCACAATTAACAATGGAATTTAAAAGCATGCATTTTATTAATTTGTTTTCGATTCCAATCTCGTTCTTCATTTGTAGCAACTATACTTAGCAAACTGTTCCTCAGAGACATTCGTACCGGAGTCTTCCAATTTGATTACATCGGTTTGTAGTAATTATTTTTGCACTATCCTAGACACCTAAAAAAGTTTATTTACTAGAATTGTCATAATGTCATGTATATTTCAAACAATAATTTTGTCATTAAATGGCCAGGTTGAAATTTTTTTGTTCGACGCAGATCATACTCAAATTGCAAATCATCGTCGTTTCTTGAACGCAAAATCAAATTTTGTTACTGTAATAAAATTTGGATTGAGAGTATATTTAATGTATTTTTAATGGGGGTGTAGTTGTGAAACCAAAATTATTTGGAAGCAGCTTGTGGCTAAAACTTGACGTTTACCCTGAGTGATTCTACAACTTTTGCATGCCATATGATTCGTTTGACAGTGCCTTAGGTTTTGAAATTATGTGAAAAAAAACTAGACAAAAAATAGTACATTTATTTCCACTCAGAAAAATTTGAAGCGTGCAAAATTACTGCAAATCTAAATGCAAGCATAATTAATTGACGTTCCGTAAGTTATAGTAAAGGCAAGTTATTCCAAAAACGGGAATTCCAGGAACCCATCATAGAACCGTATAAGAGAACGGGGAAAATAAGTGCTGATAAGGAGAATGAAAAACCAGTTTGCACACTGCGGGAGCTCGTGTATCAAGCGTGCAAGGAACATCCACCCTGATCTAGAATTTAAAAGTGAGGCCATTGGTGTGACGAGATGCAAATTAAAGCAAGATCATAACAGCAACTGCCATTTATTTAATTAAACTGCGTTAGATTTCGATTGTAACTGTTATTTTTAATAAATGGTAACAGGAACAGGATAAAAGTAAAATTTAAATATTTGTATCATTGAAATAGTATTTTTAACAATTTTTTAAATGAAAAAGTTAGATAATCCAAAAGTAAATTGTGATAAAAACAAAGGTTTGTTATCTTACATCAAATTCCGATTTTGCACTGTTTCTTGAAGGTCACGTCACTTTTGCATTATCTGGGTACGAATATTTTTGAATGGAGGCAGCTGAAATTTGACTTAAGTATTTTATGGTGGCTCTTAAATGCTTAACAAGAGATAACTGAGGTGTATGGCCATAGTGCTGTATTGGCGAATTATTTCATCGTTTGCTGACTAAAATATTTGCACATTCCAAATACTTAAGTCATGCGCTTGTGCACATGCCAGTTCCAAATTCAACAATTGTTTGATTATTTCTTGGTGGTTATAAATGAGGATGGACTTTTTATAAATCTATGTACCATTCCTGGCTCTCTAATATTTGATTAAAAGTAAATGTCATTGCATTCATTGTTACTGTTTGCTCTTTGATTGTTTTTACTGCTTACCTTAAGATTGCCATTCCTTGGATAAGCTTTATATTTGAATTCTTAAAATTATGAACTTTTAAGCAATATGGACCAGGCCATTTCCGGTTATCCGATCAGGCGACTTCTTTGTCTTCTGTTCACTGTCACATTTGCTACCGGTTCCGGAATCGCAATGCAATTTCTGCGCATCCAGTATGCCTACCAGGTGTAAGTCTTGCGATTTCTTTTCAGATGGTTCTATTATTCTGTTCCTTATTCGTATTTCCCCCTTACAGATTTGTCGCTGAGGCGAAACTACCATCAAACTCTAGTGCGCCAACTCCCTGTAGTCCTTCTAATTCGTAATGTTCTTTTGTGTTTTGAAGCCCTTCTTTTTGCAAATTCGACATGTCACTTTCATTTGTTTTTTAAAGCACACGAGATCCAGCAATTGTGACAAAGTTTGAATGGGTACAATCTCAGACTGCCTATGTTTCGACGGTTTACAGTTTGGTGGCCGGCATTCTAGGCTTGCTAAGTATTATCCCCATCGGTTATCTCGCAGATCGTAAAGGACGTAAACTGGCCATCATTGTTGCATGGGCAGGCACCTACCTGGAGATTTTAATCTCCTGTAAGTTAAAATGCACGTTACGTTTTAATTAAAACTTTTCCTCAACTGTAAACACTGATTGAGTCTAGTGTTAATTGCTCTTTATTTACAGGCATGTCCCTTTAGTGCATAAAAACCACACCAAGGCTGAAAAGACCATGTCTAATATGAAATTGTGGATAATAATGTTCAAAGGAGCTATTTTACTCCGAAATATTTGATTGTAGGTTTAGCGGTGATTTTGAAGTTGCCGGTGTATGTGCTCTTTATTGGCAGTGTTCCAGCTGGCTTGGCAGGCAACGGGCTCATCGCCGTTCAAACTCAGGTACATCGTTGTGTAAACGACAATTATTTGCGTCGCAAAGGCTGAAAACTTTATCTTAGCCGTGACTACATGTCTATAAGGGACAGATTCTGGGCCGAATTTCATGGAATTTTATTCTCTTTAAAGGCCGAATCAAGTTCAGCTCAAGGCTAGTTGCAGTGGTCTAGAAAACCATCCATTAAGAAGGCGTTTGTGGGTACAACATGCATTAAAATATCAAAGACACTGAAATAAAAGCACAACAAAAGTCTTTCCTCTTCAAAGCACGTTTTAACTTTCCCTCAAGTAACTTGCTGATGCTTCTTCTTTAATATCGTGTCGTTTGTTCCTCGTATTTTTTTTCGAACTTTATTGTTTAAAAACCAAAATGTCTGAATAATGAAAACATAAAACAAACAGCATTAAACTAAATATATACCGAGCAGTATAAAAAAGAGCTTATTGGTTTGTTCGGTGCGATAGAAAAATTGGCCAAGTGCCATAGCATCCAGTCTTGTAGTATTTTTCTGCTATATACCTTAAGTTAATTCTTCTAAGGAACTGCAAACCTCCGATTCACGACCTTAGATCTTTTTGGGTTTAGAGAAGAATCAATTAGAATTCTGAAAACTGTTGCTAAATCTGCACTGCATTTTACCTCTAAAAGACGATAAATATTTTTGCTTTGGGAAAAAACTCAAAGTCAGAGTCAAAATGTTGCCCACCAAGAAATCCTTTTAAAGTATGATTCTGTTCAACTTTTGCAATTTTGCCTTTATTGTTATCCTCCGAGGATTCTCAAACTGACAGGTCAACGACAGAGTCAGCACGGTGTTAGAAACCACTGTGTCTATCTTTCGGGATGTTTTAACGTTAGGCACGTATCCTTTCTCCTCTATTACTAGCGACTTCATCTCCATTGAGAGGAATTGGATCTGGATTACCACAGTTTTTCCATAAATTTACTCATCAGTGGTTAATGGTCCAACGTACAATCGGTTAAACTAAAAACCAAAAGCATGTTCTCGACTACTAAGACAGCAGGCACTAAAATGTCGATGAAAAGAGCTCACTCAATTGGTTAATTTAATAGTGCAGGAAATCTCACCTTGCTTCTCATTCAGGTGTACACCGGCCTCGCAGACATCTCCATTGAACACGATCCCGCAAACAATGACAGCGCGGAGACAAGTAAACCACTTCTCGATCCCGCTCGTCACAGACTCATTTTAATGGGCTCGTTCGACGCTGCAATCGGTCTCGTCTACGCCGCGGTCACCTACGCTGTTGGTTAGTTTTCTGCCTGCTCTTTCAACAGAATGTCACCTCCTTTTTGCCAAAATCTGTATCCACATGCAGCCTTTGATCGACGTAAAGTCAAAGCGTGTGTATATACTCTTCGGCTTGATTGCAACTCTACATTTTATTAGGCGAGTTCACTGGCTATCTGCAGCATTTCTGACGCAAAAGTTTCAAGGCTTATCAACTCACGGTTGCTGATGGATGTTTTTGCCATAAAATGCGTTCTTCGTGCTTTAAGCACATCTGTGGGGCTCCTTTGATCCTGAAGATGCTGCCCTTTTTGTTTGCAGGTGATCTCATCTCGTCCATCGGCTTTGTCGTCCCCACGGCACTGGCCATAACTTTCGCCACTCTGTGCTGGATATTCGTGTTTTTCCTGCCCAAAACAGATGCCCACCAAATTTCGAGACGGGAAGACGAGGAGGTACTAGACGATACTGTGGAAGTGTGGGAGGAGGAAGGTGAAGTTGAGGTGGCGTCGCCAACTCTTATAAGTCGCGTCAAGTCGGTAGGTCCCACTTACATATTTAAATGCATCTTTGGGCGCCTGACGCGCCTAATAAGTTTCCAAATGAAGCTACTTCAATGAGCTAAACGGTTTCTGATTGTTCCTTGATTCGTGCATAATTGAATGGCTGGGACTAAAATCCGATATTAGTAGGGCGCAAAATACTCGACGGTCTTTATGTAACGCGCCTACCGAGCGGGGACCTAAATAGGGAGATGACTGTTAGCCCGTCCCTCTTAGATAGCCATACCATCATGGTTAGCTACCAGGCACACGATAGAAGAATAGCTGGAAGAACCGGATGTATTCCATGCCACCGCATACAAACTCAGAGGGCTAGAGCCTAGGAAGAGTTAGAGTGGGGAAAGGAATGGTTGCGAGGAGGGTTGGTGTTGCCCTCGGACTCATGGGCGTGCCTTGAGGAAGGCGAGAGTGTGGGAGGGGATAGGAGGACAGAGAATAGGCCAGACTGGCGTGCTTGGGTCGAATGGCGAGCGTCACGCTTAAGCTATCCTAAATTTGCGCTTGCGACAACATGGTGTCAAAGCCTGTTAATTAATTTAAACAAAAACAGCCATTTTGTTATTCTTAAATGCTTCCTCATCACTTTAAACACTGGCATAATCAAGTTCGTTCAAGTAATTTTCTTGATATTTACCTGTAAAACCACAGACAGACCGCGTTAAACCTTCCAACACCTAGATGGAAACATGGAAGGCGCAAGTGAGAGATTTTGCATGACAAAAATCATTACAATGTAAGAGTATGCTGGCATTTGATTTGCAGAAATCTTGTTACCAACGCCTTCGTGTCACTTCCATTCATGAATTCCGGCTCATACTAAGAATACGTCTCCAAAGCGTCCATCCTCTTTCAAACAGACGCGTTGAGACGCGTCTGACACCAACCGTAGCGATTGCAAATGCCACCAGTGTGGATGTTGCTGTTCTCAGTTGTTTGTTGTTTATCGTGGCATTAACCTTGTGATGCAGCTGCTTCAACTTCAGAGCGATCATCACGGTCTCCTGTCATGCGTGATGTGTGAAAGCGATCGCCTAACTCTGTACCTTAGCTAACAGTTGTGTATCTTAACCCTGTTTTGACACCCGCAAAAGACTCTCGACGTGGGAAACAGGAGGGCTAGTCGACGTGATTAGAAAAAAACACTTATTACTGATGTTAGCAGGAACGAGTGCATGGTGGTCCGAACTTCCCGAAATTCTAAACGTCAGGAACGGACTATGTTGTTGTTGAGGGCTCTGGCATGTTGTCTTGAACCACGCCGGGCCCGACGATCTACATCGACGGGGTTTGTACGAAGAAACTGAAAGAATGCAGATGGCGTGTAGCTCAACTAATTTATTACAGCAGTAATGGTGTGTGTGTGTCGTATGCAAGACAACAAGTCAGTTTACGTAGGATCGGCTAAACATCGGTCCCTGAACATACACAGTTACGTGAAATGCCTCCACGTAAACCAATGGAATCGTGTTCGTTCACGCTTGCTGATTGCGTTCTCTCACGATTGCTGTGTTCGCTTGATGCTCGCCACACTGTAGTCGGTTGAGCGGATTGACCTCTTGGAAGGTCGCGTGTTTGTAGTAAAGCTGTGATTCATCTTTTGCACTCTACCGGTGAAAAATTTAACTAGAACTGGCATAAATTTAAACGAGTTCACCATCCCTCAGCGTTGAAGGAACAAGTTGACATCTTGAACGCAAGCTGAGAAATTTCAGCATCTTAATTAGTACTCAAGCCGTGCAGATGACTAATGTTAAAGTTTATCATGCGCTATCAAGGCAATTCCTGTGGCATTAACAGGTCGTGGCTTTTGCTTGGTTTCGCCATTGCTTTCGACAAATCGGAATTAAAATAGACAAAAATTCAGTACTATTTAAAAGAATGAATTTTGTTCTTCCAACTGTCATAGATCCTGAGGTTATTGGAAATTTCATCTAGTTTACTTCCGCCGGTAATGTGGCTAGTGACAGGCCTAGTTTGTAAACTTTATAATTAAATGCTTATGTCAGCTGGACAGTTAGTAATTTTTCGTTTAACAAAATTCAAATGTTTTGTTTTACGTTCCATGGTATACAGCGTTATACAGCTATGTTCTGCTAGACGTTCGGATTTTTCAATGCAATCAATAAATTGGCATCTCAGCGATTCTCGACATTGTATTTAGGTAAAACACGCAGAATTTTCGTAATTTGCGCGTTCCTTCTCGTGTACTTGTTCACTGATATATCGTCATGGTGACATTTAACCGTGGTGTACCAGGCCAACCAAATGTGGAATTAGGAGGGTAGGTCACATCATCAGGGTTGACCACCAGACATGAGATTGAACACTAGTGGAAGAAGCCTGGTGTGTTCCAGACATCCTCATTCAAGGTCAGAGAACATGGAGCGTAGGGAGAGTGGGTAAGTGTAGAATTAGGAGAGAATGGCTGTAGGTAAGGGAAGAGGTCAGGTTTGAAGCACAGGTAGGAGAACAAAAAACAAGCCAGACAGGCGTATGTTGGCCGAGTGGACGGCGTCACAGAGTATCAATTTGATTAAGATCAACACCACCGTAGTCGCCGTTTGACCTTGAACTCGTGATTAACTTAAACAAATTCTGATACTTTGCTTTACATCTGAATGAATTATATTCCCTTACGATTCCAAAAATATTAATTTAAGGTTACAATTGTTCCTTACCTTAAAAACTAACGTTTCAAAATATAATTCATCATCAAAAAAATCAAACCTTATTACGATTTGTCAAAGTTGAAAAGGGTTACACTTTGCGCAGAGTTATTATCAAATGTTGCATCGTGCTTAGTCTACTCATTACTTCTTTGGTGTCCCCCTAGTTTTGCGGATTCCTACACCCAGTGGCGTTCCTTGGAGTGTCTGTGATCTTCATTACGTCCTTCACCATATACTCCGACGCGGATGTCGCCACTTTGTACTTAATGGGGCATCCTTTCTGCTGGAACGCGAATCAAGTGGGCATGTTCATGTGAGTGCAAGAATAATTTAGCCACCGTGCCATGAATTGGCTAGACAAGCACTTCGGTATCGTGGTGTTTTATGCAAAGAATGTACCACATTCCACTGTGCATAATCTCAACCTTGTCCAAGGGTCATTTACAATTCTTCTGATTCTACACCCATAGAAAATTTTGTCTTTTTCTAACAAGAACAGATCCAAGTGAGTATTCAGGCCATTAGGATTACTAGTCGACAGGTTAACATTCACAGCGTTATGAA